CGCGCCAAAGCCCTGCCTCGCCAGCTTCGTTGTCGTCTCGATCGTGCCACCAGACACGCCGACCTGCATCTGGACGCGAATCACATCGAACGGGTGGGTGAAAAAGGTGGTGAAGATGCCGGCGGCGGCGCCGAGGCCACCTCGCTCCACGAGCGAGAGGGGCTTCGAGTCGGGCATCCTGCGATGCGCCACGAGGGCTGTCGGCAGTTTCGGCGCGGAGCCCGCCTCGGTTTCTTTTCTGTCCCCTCTCCTGCGGCTCGAGCTGGCGAGTAGAGGCCCCGCCCACCCAGGGTACCCTCTCCGAGGACATGGGTTGGCTCTTTCGAGGACTCGCCGTGGCTCTGCTCCAAGAGACCTCGAGTGCCTACTCGCCCCCGGCCCGGAGCACGAGTGTCGCCGTAGTCCCATGGAGTCCAGCCGTGCCCACCCGTGGCGCGACTGGGCCGAGTGGGAGGCGTGCTACGCGGACCTCTTCGCGCTCGACGACCCCGCCGCCCGAGCGCGCGGCGTGCAGCGCGTCGCGACCTGGCGGAGCCGCGGGCGTGTGCCTCTCGCGGTCGAGAGCACCGCGGTGCTGGCCGAGCTCGAGCTGTCGACGGCGCTGTCGGAGCCGGTGCTCTGCCTCGCGCTCGGGATGGCGCTCACGCGGCTCGTCAACGGCGTGGTCGACCCGATGCAGCAGCGGGCGCGCGCCACCTCCGTGCAAAGGCTCGCGGCCGAGGTGGCGCTGCCGGCCTCGCTCGTTGCGCTCCGGCACGAGGCGACGCACAACCAGCTGCCCTCGATGGGCGCGCTCAAGGTGGCCGCCGACCAGGCGCTCCTCTGGCTGCACGAGCACTACTGGCAGGGCCAGCTCCGCCTGCTCCGCGACCTGCCCGGCTCCGCCCACGACTGCTTGGCGCGCTGCCGCGCCGCGGCGCTGGGCGGCGGCGGCGGCGGCGGCGGCGGCGGCGGCGGCGGCGGCGGCGGCGGCGACGGCGGCGGCTCGGGGGAGCGGAGGGATCGGAAGCCGTCGAGCCGCGTGCCTCGCTGGCGCGTCACCACCTGCGCCGGGCGACTCGCAAAGCTGCTGCAGCCGAGCCACTTGGCGCCCCCTCTCCTCCCTCCTCCTCCTCCTCCTGCCAGCAGCAGGGCGCGGCAGCGGTCACGCCTCCCGGCCACGCCTTTCTAGGCGCCGCTGCTGCTGCCGCTGCTGCTCGACGACGGCGACTTCCTCGCGCCTGCGCCGGCGGGCGGCGGCGCGGCGGCCGCAGCAGCCGCGCGGAGGACGTATGAGGGGCAGGTGTGTGAGGGGATGTGCCTGACCCCTGACCCTGACCCTGACCCCTGACCCTGACCTGACCCCTGACCTGACCCCTGACCCTGACCCTGACCCTGACCCGTCACCCGTTCCCGCACCGGGGCAGGTGGAGGGGATGCGGCTGTGGCTCCGCCTGCTGCGGACGCTGCAGCGCCGCTGGCCGCACGCTTGCGTCGGCGGCGAGCTCCTCCTCGCCGTGGCGCGGCGGCTGGCGCAGGAGGCAGAGGCGGGCGGAGGGGAGGCGGCGAGCGAGGCGGGCCGCGCCGCCGCCGCCACCGCCGCCGCCGCCACCGCCGCCGCCGCCGCCGCCGCCACCGCCACCACCGCCACCACCACCGCCGCCGCCGGGCCGCCGCTGCTCTCTCGTCGCGAGGTGCTAGTTGGGCTCGCGACGTTCGTCCTCGCGCAGCGCGTCCGCCCGCCGCCCGCGCCGCCGCCGCCCGCCGCGCCGCCCGCCGCGGCACCCGCACCCGCACCCGCACCCGCACCCGCGCCGGCGCCGGCGGGCGGGGGGCGCGGGCGCGCGCTGCCCCCGCTGCGAATCGGGGAGGGGCAGCTGCGTCAGGCGGTGTGTTTGCTCGCGGAGGCTCCTGCGGCGGGCAGCTGGCAGAGCAGCCCCTAGATGCGGGAATGCAGACCCGCATCTCCCCGTATCTCCCCACATCTCGAGGTTTAGATGCGGAGCACAGATCCATATCTCCCCGTATCTCCCCGTATCTCCCCGCATCTCGAGGTTTAGATGCGGAGCACCGGTCTTTGCATTCCGACCAGCACTCGAGAGGACACGTGCTGCTCGGTGGTCTTCGGCGGCCTTCCGCCATCTTCCACCATAGCCTCTGTGCTCACGCGACGCACTGGAGAGTCCGCGCGACTCGTCCTGACTCCGGCGTGCGCACGGCGTAGGCAGAGCAGCCTGATCCTCCTCGCAGTGTCGCGCCCAGAGTGGCCTCGCGCGCGCCGGACGCCCGCTCGGCGGTCCCGCCGAGCCTAGATGCCGACCGCACACGACCCGTGGTCTGCGCGGTCCAGCCGCCTTCCAGCCGTAGCCTCTTCCCGACCGTCGCCTCCACTACCCCACCCGTAGCCTCTTCCCCCCCGCCCCCCCCCCCTCACCTCCGCCTCCTCAATCGGCCAGGCTCCTCTCGCTGCGGCGCGAGGCCGACGCCCTCCGCCGCTGCGGCGGTAGGCAGCGCAGCCAGGGCGGAGGGTCGGTTGGCATGCGCCGCGCTCCGTGGCTCGGAGGAGGAGGAGGAGGCGGAGGCGGAGGCGGAGGCGGAGGCGGCGGCGGCGGAGGAGGAGGCGGAGGCGGAGGCGGAGGCGGAGGCGGAGGCGGAGCGCCTCCGCCCACGCCTCGCCTCGCCTGCCTCGCCGCCTCCCCCTTTGCGGGCGGCGGCGGCGCGTGGCGCCGGTGCGAGGGCTGGCGCGCGACTCCTAGATGCGGGACATCTCCCCAGATCTCTCCCAGACTTGCCCTTTCGAGGCCTAGATGCGGGAGACAGAGTGCCACTCTTCCACCTGGCACTCGAGAGGGCACACAGTCGACTCGTGGCCCAAGGAGTTCACACCGCGCTCTGAGCACACGGCGCCTGCCGCCCCCCCCCCCCCCCCCGTTTGGCCTGACGTGGGCGTGTTGACGACGCAGGGCCCCGTCTGCGATCGGCGATCCCGTCTCGGTGGCGTGGGGCGGCACCGCCGGGGGCACCGCCTCTTTTCCACAGCCCGGGCCGCCGCAGCCAGCCTCTCTGCGGCCAGGGGAGGGGCGGGACGCGCCGAGCGGCCGCCCGATGACCCTCGCGGGCCCGGCGGAGGTGGCGGCCGCCGCAGACCGCCCTGCCCGCGTCGGCGCAAGCCCTCCCGCGGCCCGCGGCGCTCTGCCGCTCGAGGTGCTGGCGACGTGGGAGGAGGTGTGCGGCGCCGCCCTGCCGGCACCCCCGGGGGAGGGGCGGGTCTAGCCGCGCGGGGGCGGGGGCAGGGCGTGCGCGCGAAACGGGCAGTGGATCGTCGTCCCGACGATTGGCGCCTCGCGGGCAGTCTCGTGTGTGTGCGCAAGGATCTCGCCTAGCTTTGTTGTGAGGCTGAGAGCGAAGTGGCAAAACATAGAGAGCAGGGGAGAGAGGTGTGTGGTGTGCAGTGGCCAGTGCGCCGCTCGGCGACCAGCCTCTCGCCGTCCGCCATGCTGCGCAGCGCGTCTCGCCTCGCTCATCGCGTACATCGCGCCCTCCGCCAAAGCCTCGTGTGAGTGCCGCTCGGCGACGATCCGCTCGCGGTCCACGGATGCAAAGCCGGTGGTGAGCGCGGTGGGTGACTACGGTGGCCGTACTCACTAGCCGTCGCCACCCCCGCGCCCCGCCGCCCTCGCCGCCGCCGTCACCACCGCCTTGCTTGCCCCCGTCGCCCTCGCCGACTACTTGATTGCCACCCACGCCACGCCACCCCTCGCCCTCGCTGCCGCCTGCGCCGCCATTACCCACGCCATTGACATGCTGTCACCGGCGCCCCCACACTGCTGCCACCCACGCTACCGCCCTCCTCCCCGTCGCCCTCGCCGTCGACTTGCTCGCCACACCCACGCCGGCCCGCCACGACACCCACGCCATTGCTGCCGCCCACGCTGCCATCACCCATACCGTTGCTGTCGCCGTTGCGTATCGCCCACACACGCCGCTGCCACCCAATCGCTCTATTGCCACCCACACCGCTGCCATCCTTGCCGTTGCCCACGCCAATCAATCGCCACCCACGCCGTCGACGCCCTCGGCCGCCCAGCCTCCGGGGCACCGCCGCCGCCTGCCCCTTTCCGCCAACCAAGCGCACCAGGCCCCACCGGCCGCTCCCCACCCCGCCCACCACTGGCCGCCGCCGCCGCCGCCTCCACCCACGTCACCCACACGCCCTTGCCCCCGCCCATTACCCCCCGCCCACACCACCCCTAGCCGCCCTCGCCACGTCGTTGCCCACGCCGCCGCCCCCTCAGCCCTTACAGCCGCCCTCGCCGTTCGACCTCGCCGTGGCGTTACCCACGCCGCCGCCCAACTCCCCCCTGGCGCCTCGTCTTTTCCTACCAACCAGCACGATCTGGGGGCGGGTTACAGCGTCTCTGGGGGGCGGGCTACATGCGCTCGCGGGGCTGCCCGACGGGGCTGGCCTCGTGCTGATGGACCCAGCCGAGGTGCCCGACCAGTTGGATGGAGCCGCGCCGACGCGCCGCGCGCGAGCACCAGCCAGCTTTTCTGCGGGGTCGAGGACGGTGCGTCGTCATATGAGCGTTCATATGAGCCGTCGCAAGCACGGACCGCTGGGGGGGTGCACAAGAGGGGTGATTGGTACTCGACACGGCTGTCACGATGCAGCTCCTGGTCCTGGGAGGAGTCCTGCTCGCTCGCGAGGCCGGGAGAAGAGGACGGTGACGTGGACCCGTTTGATGCGACCGCTCTCATTTGCCCTTAACATGAGCTTTCATATGACCTTCATATGAGCTCTCATCTCTCACCTTGATATGAGCATTTGAGAAGGCTTTCGCGAGCCAGTCAAAAAGAAAAACACCTCGCATAACGGTGCAGCACCCTGCTTGCCGACGCGAGTCGCTCGCTCTCTCCCGCTAAAGCCGACAAAACAAAAACTCTAAAGCCGCTCATCTCCATCATGGCCCTCGTCAGACTTGGCACGCTGCGCGCCTCTGCGCCGCTCGCGTCGCGCCTGCTGTGCACGGCGGCGCCGAGAAAGATCGCAGTCGTTCTCGCCGGCAACGGCGTGTACGACGGCTCCGAGATCACCGAGGCCGTCGCCACCCTCGTGCACGTCTCAGCGGCGGGCTTCGCTCCGGAATGCTTCGCGCCGGACATCGTGCAGCACCACGTCGTCGACCACACGAAGGGGGAGGAGGACTCAGCGCCGAGGAACGTCCTCGTCGAGTCCGCGCGCATCGCGCGTGGGCAGATCGCGCCGCTCACCTCCCTCGACCCGACGGAATATGCGGCGCTCATCGTGCCAGGCGGATTCGGCGCGGCCAAGAACCTGTGTAACCACGCGACGGTGGCGCAGGGCGACGCGGCGCTGATGGCGGTCGAGCCGTCGCTCGAGACCGCGATCCGCGCCTTCCACGCCGCCAAGAAGCCGATCGGCCTCTGCTGCATCGCTCCCGTGATCGCGGCGCATCTGCTCAAATGTGAGGTTACGGTCGGACAGGCGGAGGGCGAGCAATGGCCGTACGGCGGCACGGCGGGCGCGATCGAGAATTACGGTGGCGTTCATCGCCCGACCGACTGGAGCGGTGTTTGCGTCGACGACGCCAACAATGTGGTCTCGTCGGCGGCGTATATGTACGATGGCAAGCCGCACGAGATCTTTGAGTCTGTGGGCGCGATGGTGGCGGCCGTCTGCGAGCGCGCCTGATCGTCGTGTCTTTCGATCTGTCGACGCACTGATCTCTGATATGTGGCCATGTTTATTTTTTGTCGGAGTCTGTGGAGACTGGAGTGTGTGTGTGGTGTATCGCGTGTGGTGAAAACAAGAAGGAGAACGAAAACGCCATGGAGAACGCGGCCGCGCGCGCGAGCCTTCAAAGTTCACAATAAACAAATAACAAAATCCAGCCCCCCCAGCCCCTGCAGGATCTCGCACGCCGCCCGGCAAGCGGAATGCAGACGGACCTTCATGTTACACTCCCCGCACGCCGCAGACGGGGCGCACTGTGGCCGCGAGATCACAGTCACTACTTCTTCACGCGTATGCCCGGCACGTTTGGCTCCAGCATCGGCTTTGTCCCAATGTCCACCGGCTTGGGCCTCGCCTGCAGAAACTCCGCCACGCGCGGCGTCGCCTCGACCGCCGCCATGAAGGTGCGCACCTCCGGGTAAGCGTCGAGCGCGGCGGGCTCGAGCAGCCGTGCGTTGTCGAGGTTGTGGTAGAGCATAAAGTCGCACCAGCGCGGCGCCGCGCCGCAGGAGAAGGGGCCCTCGCTCTCGCGCAGCTGCCTCGCCAGCCGCGCAAGCTTGGCCGGGAAGCTGTCGAAGAACGCCGCCTATGAATAAAAACGCACACCTGTGTAAGCCATCGGTTGCTAAGCAGTGGAAGTCCTCGAAGCAGGCCGCCTTCTTCGCGTCAAAGGCCTCGCCGCGAAACACATTCACGATCGGGTTGACGGCGTCGAGCTCGCGCGCCGCCTCGAAGATCATGTCGCACCTCGCAGCCTCAAGCGGTTCGGCCGGCACGAGCGCAGGCACGAGCGCAGCGCAGTAGCGGATGATCGCGCCAGCCTGGGCCAGCTCCTGCGGCGCGGAGACGCGTCGTGTGTGGGAGGCTTCGTGGCGGTCGGCGTGCGTGCGAGGGGCGTCTGCCTTGCCGTCGACCAGGAGCAGCGGCAGCTGACCGAACGGCGTCTTGTCCTTGGCGTCCTTCCAAGGCACGCCGTAGGCCTGCTGGGGAGATGCGTCTTCGTACGCGACGCCGCCGAACTCGAGAATCATCCTCGCGGGCTCCGCCAGCGCCCGGACCGGGAAGTAGATCATCGTGAGCTGTGGTGCTGCCGCGCTCTCGCAGACGCTGGCGGGCTGTGAGAATCCTCGCCGAGCGGCCTCACCAGCAAATGTGCCTGCCGCCACGAGTAGAGACGGGCGGGCGAGCCGGTGTACCGACTTGAGGAGCATTTGAGCCGAACGGTTCGCCGAGCGATGGATCCCCAGCTGCGTGGCGGGCGGCAGCGGCGGTGGCGGCGGTGGTGGCGGGTAGCACCGGGGGTGGGCAGCGCCCCCCCCCCCGGGGGCAAGCGCCTGAGCACCGCGTTTTTCTTTTCAGGGCGCATCGACCGAGAGAGAGAGAGAGAGAGAAAACCGCCAATGGCCGTTATCCGTTAGTGCGGACGTCGCCGCGGCTCGCCTCTGCCGCGGCGGCTGCTGCGCGCACGCGGCGGCGCCGCTCTCTCGCGAGACGGCTGGCGACGCGGCTCGCCGCCGTCGTACGGTGCGCTCGCCCGACGGTCCGCAGCGTGGCGTGCGCGGCGCTGAGCGCCGCTCTGCGAGCGCCTCTGCGCCTGCACTGCCTGTCTCTGTTGGTGCTGGTGGTGGTGGTGCTGCTGCTGCTGGTGCCGATGCTGCTGCTGGCGCGGCGAGGCTGTGCGACTGGGCTCGACGCGCGCGTCGCGAGCGTCTGACGCGGCGGGCGGCGTCGGGCAGGTGCGCTTCTCTCTCGGGTGGTGGTGGTGGTGCTGCTGCTGCTGCTGGTGGTGCAGATGCTGGTGCTGGTGCGGCGCGGCTCTCCGACGCGACTCGATGCGCGCGTCGTGGCTATCTGACGCGGCGGGCGGCGTCGCGGGCGGCAGCGGTGGCGGCTCGCGGGTGGAGGTGGAGGCTGGAGGCTGTGGCGGACCTTTCACTACTTGCTGGAGATGTTGAGGCGCGGCGGTGGCTAGGGGACCATCGCGGGGAGCTGCGCGTCCGGAGGGCGAGCTGTGCAGATCCGGATGGCTTCACCTTCGTTGAGCAGCTCAACCCTCTGGGGAGTGAGTCGCCGACGCCGGTGTCTTGACACCCAACACTCTACCTTAGCTCCTGAGGGGCGCGTGGTTCTAACCACGTAGTAAGACTACAGCCCACCACAGACACCCTCCCCACTCCTCACGTGTACACACTCCCTCACCCTCTCCTCTCTCCTCTCTCTCTCTCTCCTCTCTCTCTCTCCTCTCCTTGTCTGTGCTGTCTGCCTGACTCAGGCACTAACTCTGCCGATGCGTGATTGTGTGTGGGCTGCTCCGAGGGGGCCCTCTGTGCGATCCGACGGGTAGGGGGGCTGTGCCCGGGCGGTGTCCGGTGTGGAGTCCCCTTCTGACCCCGCCTGGGATGTTGGGTGTGAGGTTGTGGCGGCTTCGATCCCAAGGGGGGGAGCTGATCCCACTCAATAACCAACTCTCAGGGGCAGTAGGTGGGCGAGCTTCAGGCACGCTCATCTCGATCGTCAAGACGTTGCTACGCGCGGTCTTCCGCGGGGGGAGCTGCGTCGACGGGTGCGGGACCGCGGCGCAGCCAGTGCCGCGGCGAGGCCTCCGGCTGTTTGCGGCGGGCGGCTTGCTGCTCGCGGCGATGGCGAAAAACTCGTCTCGCCACACGCCAAGGGCTTATGCTCTGGCGAGACGTGAGGCGCATGCGCCCAGGAGGGGAGGGGGCATGTGTAACGACACTGCTAGAGATGCCTTTCGGGGCCCAGAGATAAAACTTCTGTGATGCCATGCGTGACCTAGTAGTGTCCCCAGCTATGGGCGTGTCCACGTTGGAGCCAGGTGTGGTGTGGGCGCGAGAATAGCTCCGCCGTTCATGGAGGCAACCGATGCGAGTCGACTGGTGTGTGTCGTCGTGGTTTCGTATCAAGAATTCTCTCTCTCTCGCATCGACCGACCTCGTGAGGTCCGGCCCGCCACCTTGACGCCGTAATCTCCTTGAGCAGAACCCCAGAAAAAGAAAAATGGTCGCGCGCCCAACACGGCTCGAGTTCACGAACTACAACTAGTTCGGGGGGGTTCGGGCACCCAAGGGCGAACGACCGAACCGATGCAGCGAACCAAGGGGATGCGTCCAGAGCGAACTCCGAAACCGAACGAACCGCGAGTTCACCGAACCAGTTCACGAACCAGTTCGCCTTTTCTCCGGCGAACTCGAAAGCGTGTTTCTCTTCATAGGGCGCGGTCGTTTTGCTCCAATAGCCTTTTGCAATAGGGGCAAAGCAGGGCACCCGCAGCGTGAGAACCCTAATCAACTTCGTCGCAGGCGTCATGATGCTCGCGCCGGCATTCGCTCTCGTGCTTGGATTCGCCACGACCCCGGAGCCTGGCTCGGACCTGTTCGCTGGGTACGCCATCTACGACCGCTTCACGGACAGCATTCCCGCAGACTGCGTGTATGAGGCGGTCACTGACATGGGTACGCAGGTGCCCGATTACTGCTGCACGGACGCTCCCTCCCCAGCGGTCGGCGCCCTCCCGTTCAGCCCGGCAGAGAACGGAATCCCTGGGGACGACTATTCGGACTACACATGCGCGCCATTGGCCGTTTTCCCAGACCCGGCACCCTACATTCGCAGCTACTTGGGATGCGTGGACTCTTCGGTCCAGTTTGGCGAGCTTTGTGTCCCTGCGGATCTGGAGTTTGGAACGACCTACCCCATGACCACTGACATGGCGGCCACGAAGTACACGAACGACGTCGACTCGGCCGCGACGTGCGGCTGCCAGGCCGTGTACTCGGGCCCAGGCTGCTACTCGGCTGCGCAGCCCTTCCTGCTCCTCGCCGACGGTTCGGCCGAAGTTTACTTCGCTCACATCTCTGGAACTTGCTGAAGTGCACAGGAAACGAGAACAAGCACGCCCTTCTCCACGGCATCCATTGCTAGGCTCGCTTTCACCTACGTAGTACGACCACCGACGAGCGTGCCCTTCGCGGGAGACGGGGGATGGGGGGGGGGACGAGGGGGGAACAAGGGAGGGGTGCGGGGTGCGAGGTGGTGGCGCAGACGCTGTGCGTGACCCGTTCAGAGCATGTGTGACCCGTTCAGAGCATGTGTGACCCGAACCGGGTGGGGTGAACACCGCGCCTGAACGCCGCGTTTTTCTTTTCAAGTCGCTTTCGACCGACCACGTGAGCGTCCGGCCCGCCACCTTGACGCCGTAATCTCCTTGAGCTCCCCAGAAAAAGAAAAAAATCGTCGCGCGCCCAACACGGCGCCGGCAAGATGGCCTCCCCGACTCGCGCTCTGTGGCTGCGGCTGCGCAACATGCCCGTCCTCCGTATGCTGCAGCTCGAGGAGGCCATCTTTCGCACCGACACGCGCAGCTGGTTCATCACCAACACCTGGGATGCGCCGCCCACCAGCGCCGGCCCGGAGCGCGACGCCGCGCACGCCGCGGCTCAGTCGGTTGTGCTGGGCATCTCTGGCAAGCCAGCCGAGATGCTCAACACCGAGGAGGTGCTGAAGGCCGGCGTGCCGGTCATCAAGCGCTTCTCCGGCGGCGGCACAATCATCTCTGACGCCGGTGGAACGCTCAAACACGTAGCCCTCACCTCTCGCGCCAACACCGCCGCTGCCCGTGCCGCTCGCGGCGTTGCCCACCCCGCTGCGCCCCCTGCCGCACCAGACACGCTCTTCGCGACCTTCATCTGCGCCGCCGACGACGAGCCTCAGGCGTCACCCCACCAAGACACTTCCTAGACGCTTCCTAGACGCTTCCCAGGCTAGACACGACGAGCCTCAGGCGTCGCCCGACCCGTCGGGGCATATCCAGGACGCGTCCGTGACATGTCCGAGACACGTCCCGCAGGTGCCCCCCTACCCGGACCCGATCCTAGATTGGACGTCCTCCGTGTACGACGCCGCACTGCGCGGCTGCGGCGCGACCAACTTTGCGGTGCGCGCGAACGACTACTGCTTCGCGACCGAGGAGGGCGACTTCAAGTTTGGCGGCAACGCACAGTCCATCTCGGGCAAGCGCTGGCTGCACCACACCTCCCTGCTCTGGGACTATGAGCCAGCGAGGATGGGTCTGCTGCGGATGCCTAAGCGCCAGCCCGCTTACCGCGCGCAGCGGTCGCACGGCTCATTTGTGCGCGGCCTCTCGCAGACGCTGCCCTCGCGGGACGCGTTTTGCGCCTCCCTCGCCGCCGCCGCGGGCGCGACGTGGGAGCTGACGCCGGTGGAGCTAGAGGAGGCGCAGGCGGCGCTCAGCTTGCCGCACAGACAAGTGACGAGGCTACTTAGACCGGAGGAGGTGTGTTGAGGGGAGCCGGGTCCAGAAAAGGGCGTGTGCCAGGGCAACGGCCCTTGCGTCAGCGGCGCCGCGCGGCGGCGGCGGGGGCGACAGGGCGGCGCGCCGGAGGTGCACCATGGATCGCGATTCGTGTTGCGCACCGCGAGTACATATGTAAACCGTGACAGCGTGAGGCTCAGGCTGTGAGAGCGCGCCCGCGTTAGTTTCGTCAGTCGCCTCGCACAGCTCCGCGGGGCGCGGCCGGCGCGGCGCGGGGCCGGTCCGGTGTTATCTGTTATTATTCTGCAAAGGGGTGTGAACGGAGAGAGCAAACTCCTGGCAGCTCCCACAGTCGAAATGTGCGCCAGCTGCCCGCTCACCTGTGTCACGCCGCCGCGCACGCACCTCGCTATGTGCTCGCGCGAGCTCCCGCCCGAGCCTCCAGCTCGGCGTCCCACTGCTGCGGAGCCGATCGCTTTTCCTCGGCGCTCGCGTCGAGCCGAGCTCTCGGCACTCTACGGCGGGCGTCGCTGTGCGGGGCGCCCGTTTCCTGCTGGCCCGAGCGGAAAGCTCCACGTGCCCGCGCGAGCTCCGGGCCGAGCCTCCAGCTCGGCGTCCCACTGCTGAGGAGCCGATCGTCGTCCGTCGGTGCTCTCGAGGAGCCGAGCTCCTTGGCCTGCGGCCGGCGACGCTGCAGGACGGCGCGCGCGCACCCAGCGAGGTGCGTGCGCGGGGGCTTGACGGGGGTGCGCCCCCCCCCCCGTCGCCCCG